AAAATTTGCCTTCCAACCTTGCTCAACTCGAACGACATGTTATAAGGGCATAGAATCAAATTCTGATAAAAACTATCAAAAATTTGGTCGATAGTATGTCACAGCGAATTCGGGCTGTAATTGAAGCAAATGGAGGCCTGACTAAGTACTAATTATTTAGTACCAAATTTGTAGTATATCGTACTTTAATAAATATATTAATAAATATTTTTTAATTAAACTTAAATATTTAAGTTTTATATTGAGCCAAAAAGCGTTCAGAGACTTTTGGCGGGGGTCTGTATATAATTAAAATAATAAAGTTTAAATAGATTTCTTAATTTTTTATCATCAATAATTGAATTTTTATTTATATTTCTAATATATAATAAATAAATATTATATTTAAATTAAAATAATTAAATTTTTATTATCTAAATTATTATCTAAAAACTAAATAAAAATCACCAATAATAGTAAGTTTATCAGTAATAACTTTATTTTTGATAATATTTATATTATTAATTTTTTTTTAGATATTGATTAAATAAATAAAATAAAATAAATTTAAGAATTATTAAAAAAAAATTATTCAAATTTTTATTACCATCTAAATTAATATTTGAAAATCTTACTTTTTTATTAAGAAACTTAATTTTTTATAATTTAAAAATAGAATTTATAAAAAAAAAAAATAAATAAAAATATTTAAAATCAAAATAAATTTTATACTTATATTAGTAATAATTTTAACTTTAATAATCTAGTTTATAATAATATTAGTAGTAATAATAATATATTTACATATTTATACTTTAATTTCAAATTTTTTAAATAATCTAAAAATTTTAGATTAATCATATTAACAATCAGTCAATTAATATTATTCAGATTCTAAATATTTACAATATAAATATCATATATAAATTCATAATAATATAATAATATAAAAATAAAATATTCTATTTTTTCATTTTTTTTAAATATTAAGAGATTTTTTTTAATTTAATATTAAAAAAGGTAAGTTTTTTTTATTCATTTTCTATTTATTTATATTAATTTTACCGTTATTTATTATGAAAAATATGTAATTTTGAGAAAATCATAATTAAATTTACTTAAAGAAAATTTGTATAATCAAATATATTTTTCAATAGTCTTAATAATATATATTTTTAAAAAAAAAAGAGATTTTTTTTAATAGATTAGATCAGTAAATATAAGAATATATTAAATCTCAAAATTTAATTGATTAGCTTATTTTCTCTTTTGTTACAAGTATTTTTATATATTGAAAATTATGAGATAATTATTTTAATATTTTTTTAAAAAATTTTTATTAAATATTTTATTTTTTACTTATTCTAATTTTAATTTTGTTATTTATTTTTTTAAAATTTTTAGTTTTTTAGCTTAAGGTAAAGGTAATAGTGATTATTGATATTAGTAAATGTAGGAAAAAGTGACATAAGTATCTGTGATTGAAAGTGATCTTTCTATTTAAATTTGATAGTAGTTTTGAAGTCTAGAAGCCCTGAAGATTAGCTCTTAGAGATGTTGTCTAGATAGTAAGCCTTAGATCAATATTAAATAGGTAAGTTCTAGTTAGAACTTGTGTTTAATTATGATTTCATAGATTTTAAGATTAGCATTAAGCTACTTTATAATCTTAAACATACATATAATTACTATTAAGATGCTTAGTATCTCAAGTAAAGTTGCTAGATAAAATATAGAAGTTTTGCAAGTTGTCTAAAGGTAAAACTATATTAAAGCTTATAAAAATGCAAAACTATATCAAAATCTTAGTAAAAATTTAGCAAACTATAATTTAGATGTTTTATTAAATCTAGACAAGCAATCTTAGTTTCAGATACTAAAACTATAAAAAAATAATTTTTTTAGCTTAGAAAAATTTAATATTTATCTATAAAAAATTTTAAAATCTAAAATTTTTGCAATATTAAGTTAAAAAATATGATCTAATTTTTAAAAATTGCTATTAAATATTTGATTTTTTAAATTAAGTAATTTTTATATTTTTATATCTTATTTATTTTAATTTATTATCTTAATTTTTTTTATTAATTTTATTATAATCAATCCTTTTTATCTTTAAGATTGAAAAAATGATGTAATTATAAAAATATTATATGATATAACTAAAGAGAGGTTTTTTAATAAATTAATAACTTAAGCCAATATAAGTGTGTTTATAAAGAGAAATGTAATTATATATAAAATAACTATAAAGAAGTTGACTATATATCATTTTATAGGTAATTATATCTTTAAGTATAATAATTAAGTTATGAAATTAAAAATACAATAAAGTAATTATGTATAATTATTAGAATATGTGATTTTTTTTAATGACTTAAAATGATTTATTCAAAAAAAATTTAGTAAAAAATTGTTATTTATGATTTTTAAGAAAACTTTTTTTATAATAGTAATAATTAAAAAAGTTAGAGAAGTTAGAGAACAAAAAATAGAGCTGATCAAAGAAAGAAAAATTTAATGTTTAAAAATAAACCTGTAGATAAGAATCTGAATAATAATTTATTTTGATTATTTAAAAAATGATACTAATATCTTTAAAAAAGAATGAAAAAGAATAATTAATCAGAATTTTATTTACAAATAATCATAATAGAATATATTTAAATAAAAAGATTCTTTAAATTACTCATATATCAAATTGTTATTTTATTTCTGATAATTATAAAATACAAACAACCTGAAAATATGAAAGTAAAAGTAAAATAGTTACATTTTTTTCATAAAATATTTGATTAATTAGTTAATAATTCTAATATAAATACTATTAAAATTTATAAAAACTTAAAAGAAATAAAAAAATAAAATAAAATTTAAAGTATTAAAAATAAGAATTAAAGAATAAAAACATATTTTATATTTTATTTTAAAAAAATTAATTGAAATCAATATTAAAAAATTAATTTTAAATTTTAAATTTTTCTATTATACTTTTAAATAAAAAAATTTTATATTAAACAGATTATTAGTTTTAAATAATCATTGTTTAAAAATTTTCAATATTACTGATTATGCAAATCTATTCTATAAATTTAATAAATTTTGCTCATTACCATTAATCACATGATTAAATTTTAGCCAATCACAATTCAGTATTATATTGTACACGAGATTTTTTAAATTTAAACTTTTGTGATAATTTTTTGTTCCCAACTAGACTATAAATTGCAAGGATTATTTCGCTAAATAATTATATTAATATAATTTGATTTAATTAAAAAAAAAAACTAATGATACGTCTTAACCCTTTTACTAGTAGGTGTATGAATAACCGGAGGGTCGTTTTCCAGATTTTGTTTGTTACTGGCAGATTCTCTCTTTCTCTGATTCTGCAAGTTTTTTTTCTTGATCAAATTTAAAATATTTAGCTCCATAGCCTTAATCTTATCGTGCATTGTTTCCAACACGTTTAGGATAGTTTCGATATTATAAATTTCGTGTATAGATACTGGTAACCAGCATTCATTAAGTAAAATTAGGTGGAAGAGACCTTTAAAGCGGATCATCGTATAAACTTTCAATTTATAACCTAAAAATAAAGAGAGGAGCGTTCAGTCTCTCCATGTCTTATTTATTGAAACCGTAAAAGAAAATAACTTACCGACGATTTGCACTCCCCAAACTACTAAACTATCTACATCTATTTCTAATTCATTTTCACTCCTGATTAAGGAGTCCCTTAGCCCCCATGCTAACTTGATTTTATCTTTCCAAGACTTGCATCTCGAACATCCGGGAAGAACACCTCCTGACACTTCACCAATTAATAGTTCAGGCTTCCAACTGATACGATTTGCAGTTACAATTAGATCACATTTTTGACCAATTCGTGACTGTGATTGTGGATCGGAGTTCCTATTTCGCCGTTCGCTAGAACTTTTCAAAGATTTCTCGCCGCTATAATTTGCATAAAACTTGATTAATTAATGAAATATTAGGACAAAAGTTTTTAATACATACATACCAATCTAAAGTAAATTTCTCATAGTCGTTAAAAATGGCATCGAAGTATGGTAAGATATTCCGATACATATGCATCATCTCTGAAAGGTTCCGGCTTGGTTGCCTTAAGTATCTTTGCACACGTATGAAGAGTTCTTTCAAATCATTTTCATAATCATTTGAAGTGGTCATAATTCTTATATTTGGATCCTACGTGAGATTAAGATAAATAAGGAAATTAAATCTTACTTTTTTAAGAAAATCACTTTCACAACTTAGTTCTTACATCATATAACTTGTCCAATATATTTCCAACTTCATCACGTCTTTTTGGTTTCAAATGAAACCTTATCGCGAATGCTTTCATTTAGAGCATTCATATCAAATAAATTGTTTGTTGGAGTATGCTGTCCAGAATGATCAATAATATAATACCACAACGGATTATATAATTGTTTTGATCGCGGAATAGTGTTTCTATATTCATCAATCTTGTGGCGTACTTCTGTAAAATTGATTTCACTTGACATGCTTTGTAAAGATGAATTTAAAATAATTGATACTCTCTCAGACTCTAAGTCATTTGGTTCGACTGCATTATTGTCAAAATCTTCACCGTCATCATATTGATCATTATTAGGGGAAGATTGATCATTGTTAACGGAAAAGGAGGCGGTTTCTTGATCCTAAACAATTACTGTTAATATAAAGCAAGCAATGATATGATAAAACAATTAATAACTTTTACATACATTGACTGTCCAGAAAATATTTACTTCTGGTGAATCTAATTCGGCCTAAAAAAAAAAAAGAAAAGTATGGCTTCAATATCGTATGGATCAGTTTTTAAACCTTTTGAGGAAGGTATATAGCCATTTCTCCTCCGGAATTTGTTAAAACATTTACATAACAATACTCGTTGACAAGATGGACCATTCATTTCTCATACAGTAAGCTTGCGTAGAACAGTATAAATACACTTGGCATGTATAACAGTACAGTAGTCTCCCCATAAATCCCTATAAGGTCTTATAGCAGTTCAGCACATACCTCAAAATTATCCTCAATATATTTTATATGTTTAGTGATATTTGCGTTATATCCACTTTTATCATTGTAGTGATGTTTTATACATTCAAAATCTTGACGGTATCGTGAAAGTTCGCGTTCTTTGTCAAGAATTTCAACCTTGGTTATTCGATAATTTAAATACCCAAGTAGACTTGGTTTGTTATTTTTGGTGATTCCCACCCAGTATTCTTCAAAAAATATGGAAGTTAATAACGAATTATTGCGTTAACGTAGATTTATATGTATACTTACCTTCGTCATTCAAATTTTTTTTGCAATCTTTATTGATCCTCATATTTTAATTTAGCAGTTTTTCCAAACGTAAGTCTATGAGTGAGAGCCTACAGTAATAAGAGTCAGGCGCGTTTATAAATCATTGATGCACTGATTGATTGATAGATGATTACGTCACCTACTTAGCAAAATTCTCGCGTTTTTTCGCGTTTTAGAAAGAGCTACTTATCTAACTTATCTGATATAGTATATTTTATTTTTAATATGATCAAAAACAAACTTTCTCATTTTAAAATAGTAATAATAATAACGCTATACTTCAATTCGTCTCCCCTCTAAAGAAAAAAATTATTTTTTTTTGTGAACATCCCTCTAGTACGATTAGCTAATTTACTTAGCTCCCCCATGACCCCAAGATAAGTTGGAATTTAGCAATAAATTCAAGTTCGACGATCGTAGCTACGTTGATCGCCTTGTTGCGCAGAACGATATTCGGAACGTAAGATTTGATTTCTTCAGTCTTGAACTATTGGACTAATTGACTTTATCCAAATTTTATTGAACTTATATAAGAATTTTTTGAAACTCGCCTGTGATCATTAATGTGATAAAGTTTCATTAATAATTGAGAAACGCAACGATTCATTGTTTGCGCTAGATTAACAAATCAAACGTTAAATTCTTGATTTTAATATTAAATGGTTAGAGAATGATTTAATACTGCGAAAATATAAAAAAAATATTTAACATTTTCTCTTTATCAAGTGATTATAACAGCAGAAGTCTCAATAAAATTAAAAAAATTTATTATTATTATTATTAATTCAGAGCGTAAATGAATTTATAAGATTCCTTTATTGAACTCTTGGTTTATCCTAAAACCCTATCTTGAGTTACTTTTCAACTCAAAAGAAAATAAAAGGTATTCATACAAAATAAAATACTATCAAATAAAATATAACAAATATAATATAAACGATAAATATAATAAATAACAAATTACATACAAAATTATGGTGTCTTCGGGCGAAATTATATTCAATATAACAATACCTTATTCATAGAATTCGATGAATTAATTAAGATTACTAAATAACAAATATAATGACTATAATTAATTTATCTAATATATCTAATAGATCAATGATCATCAAATGGGGCTAAGCTATTAAAATTACCTTACAGGATAGCAATTGATTTTGAGTAAATGATGATTAAAAAAATGCTACGCTACAGTAACCATTTTTAACCAATAATAAGAAATATTAAGTCGAATTAATGATTAAGACGATACTAAAATTTATTATTTAAAATTTTTACTATTTAAATTGTTATTTTATAATATTTAAAATTTTGCTATAATAAAATATATAAAATTTATTATTTAAAATTATTTTTTTTTTTTTTTTTTTTTAACGATGTGGCACTGCCAATAACTTTATTAAATTTATTTTAGAAGAAATACAAAGT